GGAAAATTCAGGGCAATTGATCAGGTTGACACCACCGTTGCTAAAAATCAGAGACTAGGCTGTGTGCGGTGGCTCATGCCTGTAATTTCAGCACTTTAGGAGGCTGAGGCAGGTGGATCACTTGAGGTCAGGAGTTCGAGACCAGCCTGGCCAATATGGCAAAACCTCATCTCTACCGAAAATACAAAAATTAGCCAGGCATGGTGTGGCAGGTGCCTGTAATCCTAGTTACTAAGGAGGCTGAGGCAGGAGAATCGCTTGAACCCGGGATGTGTAAGTTGCAGTTACACGGGATCACACCATTACACTCCAGCCTGAGGGAAAGAGCAAGACTCCACCTCAAAAAAAAACAACAAATAATAATAATGCACCATGTCACTTTCCCTGTGCACTTTTCCTGCCCCTTCGTAGACAGCTCCTAACATCAACATGAGATCCTGGTGAAGGAGGGGTGGATACTGGGCTTGCTACAGTTTAATGAGCCATTTTTCCCCCAGAGAGAGATGGTCACCTTCTGTCAGATTCCCTTGAGTGTTTTTCCAACCCTTGCTGTGGGCGGTTTACCCTCAGGGCACTTCTCCATACAGCCACCAGGTGGCGCCATTGCTGCATAAATAAAACAAACCGATCCAAAATTAGAAAATAGTGTTCTCCTTTCTTTGAGCTGGGTGGGGTGGGTCAAACCTGTAATCCCAGCACTTAGGGAGGCTGAGGCGGGTAGATCACTTGAGGCCAGAAGTTCGATACCAGTCTGGCAACATGGTGAAACCCTGTCTGTACTAAAAATACAATAATTAGCCAGGCATAGTGATGCACGTCTGTAATCCCAGCTGCTAGGGAGGCTGAGACAGGAGAATTGGCTGCGAAGCAGAGGTTGTAGTGAGCCAAGATTGTGACACTGCACTCCAGTCTGGGTAACACAACGAGACGCCATCTCAAAAAAAAAAATATTCCTAAGGACTGAGAGGGGAAACTGAGGCATGCAGACTAGAGTTGGGGTGGGGCTTGGTGAGAGAATGGGTTCAAGTAACCTGTGAAGGACTCTCAGGAAGTCACAGCATCTTAAAAATCATTTATTCTACCCTCCCACTTCCACATTTTCCAGAAATAGAAACCAAAGCTGAGGTAGGGAATATAACTATCCCAAAAGCACCACATTGGTGAGGAGTAGGGTTCCCAGAGAAAACACAGGACATTCAGTGAAGTGAGAGTTTCGGACTCTCAGTGTATGTCCCAAATAATGCACGAGGCTTAAACTAAAACCTTATTCACTCTTTGTCTTCAAAGGTAACTGCGCATCTGTATGATGATTTGCTAAGTCTGACAACGCTCATGAGGGTGAAATGAAGATTAGGAAAATACTTAAATGTAATAAGCAAACATGCAAAATGAGGACAACTCTGTTCCCATTTTGCAGACAAGGGAACTGCACATTAGGGAGGTGTCTTGCCCCAAGGACGCCCTCACAATCATCAGAGTCAGGATTTGAACCCAGTCCTGATTCCAGCAGTCTCTACTTCACTGTTGTGGCCAGGAACACCCCCCAGTCCTACTCCTGTGTGTGCATGTTCTGTCTTGAGTATGACTCTCTCCACATCGTGTATGTGGGCCATTCCCCTCCCTGACATTGAAGGAACCCATCTTCAGCAGGTGCCTCCTGAGCCAGCAGACCGGCATGAGCCCAGATTCCTGGGACCTGGTGGCTACCCTTATCACATTCCCCGACTCCCCATCTTAGGATTCAAGTCTGACCCTCTTCAGGATCTGCAGCTGTGTTACAGGAAAGGGGACCCGATCCAGACCCCAAGGGAGGGTTCTTGGATCTCGTGCAAGAAACAATTCAGTGTGAGTC